GGAGAAGAATTAATAAAATTTAGTTAATAATTATGTTAAAAGTATACAAAATTTTATTAATTCTTCAACCATTTTTGAAAATTCCAGAATTTATTCTAAATGTAATATCGCCGTCTTCCTCCGCGACCCTTTCACTTCTTAAAATTTGCATAATTGTGTTAAACTAGTATAAAGTAGTGCAGCATTTGATTGCCAATAACTCTGATCAACACTTTTAGTGAATGCTACAAATTTAAAATAGAGTTTGTATACTTTTAACGTAGTTATTAACTAAATTTTATTAAAATTTATTAGAAGACACTCCGACAGTTTCCTTGTTAGTATAGTATAATATGCAATAATACCATTAAAGCTCCATGGACACCACTTCCTCTTAAATTAGGAGCATATTCTGAAAGATCAACAGTTTTCAACCATTCCATAATCCTGTGATTTGTCCATCTAATAATTAAGTTTGCTGAGATTTCCTGAAAAAGTTTTATTTTAAAAAATTGCATTTAATGTGCCAACTGTTCATTTAAAGTAATGGTTTACTTCATTTGGAACTGATCTTCTTATCAAGCAAGAAGGATGAAAATTATATCTTCTCAGCATTTGAATGCCTCTCTTGATACTGGTGAAATGTAATAAATTTGTTACTTTTAAAGTAATCAAATCTTCCTGTAAAAAGAAGAGAAAGCATTTAATTCTTGACATTACGTAAAAGTAACAATGATCACAATAATTGATAATTACAACAGTGAGATAGTGCAAAACCCTTCCGTCTATACGAGCTTCAGCAAATATATCTTTGTACTGTGGCAAGCCAATATCATCTAACCAGCTAATTACCCAATGATAATCTAACTGTCCTGCTATCTCGTCCAGTCCTCTGCTTTCAGATCCTATTGTCTGTAAAGCTAGTCGAAGTTTCTTACGGTGCAGACTATTTTTGATTTTTAATTCCTGTTTAGTATTAAGTAACATTCTTTTAATTAAATTATCTTCTAATCAAATTAACATTAATAAAATTTTTAAGGATTCACATGTACTTTTTCTAGGTTGGCATTAGTTGCCTTTAATAACTGATCACCATTTTTGATCCATTTTTTGCATTCATTACGATACATTCCTAGACCAATTTCGTCCATCCATTCGACAACTGTGTCAGTATCCCAATTAGAGAAAGGTACACCAATTCTAAAAATTAAAAAAATTCTATTGAAATTATCAAAAATGACAAGAATCTAATAGACTTCTTGTTAATTTTTTTCATTGTTATTGGAACCCATGAACACAAGCACACTATTAATGAGTTAGTGTCTTGGAAAAAACTGATAGAAACTCACCCTTCTACAGTGAATTTCATTTTTGTTTTGGGGCTGGAAAGAGTTTTGTATATAGAAAATGACAATTTTTAATTAAAAATATTCTACCTTCATACTTACATTGGATCAGTTGTGAGAGAAGGTGACCATTCTTTGTTTAACCTGTCTAAAGTTTGTTCATTTTGATTTAATTTTGAAAATTTATCTTGTTTTGCTCTAATAAATAAAATTTTTGCTGTTATTCAACATATATATATAATAATAGTAGATGCAGTGTAAATAATATATTAATACCTGCCAAATAACTTTCTAAAACCTTTTTTTTCCTTTCCAACTGGTACAGGACTTGTGGGTAAAGATGAATAACGACTTCTAGAACTGCGCATAGAGGCTCTTTCATCGAAGTCTTTCATTTCACATTGTGCTATTGAAAATTAAAGTTTTATTGTCATTTAATATACAGTACTTAAAAGCAGGGCTGGAGTCGGAGTCGGGGGGAATTTCTGGCAAGAGGAGTCTGAGTCAGAAAAATGTGTTGACTCTGACGTTTTAAATTTATTTTAGTTTTTTTATTTAAATGAAAGAAAATTTATTATATATTTATTAATTTTTAAAAATGTTTTTGTATTTTGTTGTAATTCATTGCTGCATTTTGTATTTAAAATAAATTTAATTTATTAAATATATAGTGATCTTTGTAGTATTTGTGTTTAGTAGTTAAATTGTTTTGACCCAATTGAATTTTAATATTTTTGAATTATTCGTTTATTATCCCTGCTCTAAATAAGTACTCTATTTTTCTGAATGAGCCAGACTAATTGATCAGAGTATATAGTTTTCTTTTCTGAACAACGGGCTGAAGTAGCTATATCGCACACTTTTTTTAGTTGGACTAACTTTTCTGGAAGGGTGAAATTGAAGTGCAAATGCTGTCAAATATATGTGGATGAAGAATTTTATCGCCCCCTTTCTCCTCTTATTAAATATTTGTTAATATTTATTTGTATGAAAAAATTAATTTTTAAAAGTACTAACTATAAAAGTATTTGGGTAAACACCCCAGGCTCCATTCAGAGTAGGGTACCCCCTATGAGCACCTCTACCCCCCATAAAATGACTTTGGTATTTAATTTTGCCAGAGTTGGAGTTGAATGTTTTTTTACCAACTCCACCCTGCTTTAAAGTCTATTTTTGTTACAGGCATACCTAATTCTGGAGTACTATTGCTTCGCTTTTTCCTTTTGAACCAACTGTTGTTCATAAATGTATATGTTAAAATGTACAATATTACTTATTTAAAAAAAATACTAAATAAATATTTACAAATTCTGATTGAAAACCATTGTGTTATTTTATTAATATTATGATAACTGAGTTGTTACACACTTGTATCTGTTACTGGTAAGGATAAATCTTCTGTTTCTTTTTCATTATCCTAGAATTAATTTTAAAATAAGTAATTTTAATAAGAGCATAATATAAATTAAAATGTATTAATATTAACCTTTTTTGAATCTGTTTCCTGTGGAATAATCTGAATATTATAATCAGGTAAATTGGTCTCCAGAGGACAAACAAAATCTTCCATGTCCAGCATGGATCTGTTTCGGAAACTGAGTCTAAAGTGTCTCTTTCGCCCTGCCTGTAGTACAGATTGCTTAATATACCAACTTAAACTAACTGTAAGTTAGAAGAAAACTGACCTTGATTTTAGCAGTTGGTGTGAGGATGATAAAACCGGGTTTGTTTTCAGAATCTCTCTTATTCTGCATTACTTCACTGCCTAAAAGTTCTTTAAAGCGAAGAGACAGATGTCTTCTTAGAAGTGTCTTAGAAGAAGGTATATTGAGTAAAGATGCTAAAAGATCCCCATTAAAACTATTTTCATACACCTGAAATTATACAAAATTGGAAGAGTACAGTAGAGTGTCATTTATCCGAAAGCCAATCAACCGAAATGTCGGTTAACCAAAAGCATTTCAGTTGGACTGTGTCATGCTGAATTGAACGTTTTTGATACTAGATTAACTTCCAAAATATCATTTTTGTTTTTATATTTTTCAATATATTTATTTTGTTTGTACAAAATAAAGAAATAATTTTTAATGATACAATAGCCCTGATTATTATTTTAAAAAATTTACGTTAGGCTTAACATTGATGAAAATTCAACGCGAAGTGACATGCAATGGAGAAAAATTTCAAGATGGGATAGGTTAATATACTTTTTCATACATAATCAATTATCTGAACAACCCCAGTCCCCAATTGATTCGGATAAACGATGCTCTACTATAGTTAAATATTCTAAATTCATTTTATATTTGACTATGAAGGAAGCTTGCTGTATGCCAGTTACAATTAATTTAGAAACATCAAGGGAAGGCATATCTAAAAACTAAACAATAACAGTGCAACTTGCTGCTTTTACTCTTACAAGGGAACTGTCGGAGTGTCTTTTAATAAATTTTAATAAAATTTAGTTAATAACTACATTAAAAGTATACAAACTCTATTTTAAATTTGTAGCATTCACTAAAAGTGTTGATCAGAGTTATTAGCAATCAAATGTTGCACTNGCTGGAAAGAGTTTTGTATATAGAAAATGACAATTTTTAATTAAAAATATTCTACCTTCATACTTACATTGGATCAGTTGTGAGAGAAGGTGACCATTCTTTGTTTAACCTGTCTAAAGTTTGTTCATTTTGATTTAATTTTGAAAATTTATCTTGTTTTGCTCTAATAAATAAAATTTTTGCTGTTATTCAACATATATATATAATAATAGTAGATGCAGTGTAAATAATATATTAATACCTGCCAAATAACTTTCTAAAACCTTTTTTTTCCTTTCCAACTGGTACAGGACTTGTGGGTAAAGATGAATAACGACTTCTAGAACTGCGCATAGAGGCTCTTTCATCGAAGTCTTTCATTTCACATTGTGCTATTGAAAATTAAAGTTTTATTGTCATTTAATATACAGTACTTAAAAGCAGGGCTGGAGTCGGAGTCGGGGGGAATTTCTGGCAAGAGGAGTCTGAGTCAGAAAAATGTGTTGACTCTGACGTTTTAAATTTATTTTAGTTTTTTTATTTAAATGAAAGAAAATTTATTATATATTTATTAATTTTTAAAAATGTTTTTGTATTTTGTTGTAATTCATTGCTGCATTTTGTATTTAAAATAAATTTAATTTATTAAATATATAGTGATCTTTGTAGTATTTGTGTTTAGTAGTTAAATTGTTTTGACCCAATTGAATTTTAATATTTTTGAATTATTCGTTTATTATCCCTGCTCTAAATAAGTACTCTATTTTTCTGAATGAGCCAGACTAATTGATCAGAGTATATAGTTTTCTTTTCTGAACAACGGGCTGAAGTAGCTATATCGCACACTTTTTTTAGTTGGACTAACTTTTCTGGAAGGGTGAAATTGAAGTGCAAATGCTGTCAAATATATGTGGATGAAGAATTTTATCGCCCCCTTTCTCCTCTTATTAAATATTTGTTAATATTTATTTGTATGAAAAAATTAATTTTTAAAAGTACTAACTATAAAAGTATTTGGGTAAACACCCCAGGCTCCATTCAGAGTAGGGTACCCCCTATGAGCACCTCTACCCCCCATAAAATGACTTTGGTATTTAATTTTGCCAGAGTTGGAGTTGAATGTTTTTTTACCAACTCCACCCTGCTTTAAAGTCTATTTTTGTTACAGGCATACCTAATTCTGGAGTACTATTGCTTCGCTTTTTCCTTTTGAACCAACTGTTGTTCATAAATCCTGAACGTTTATTCCTTGCAGTATTGAAATTATCCAAACTGGGATTATAAAGACTTTGATATGATATGGCTTGAGTAGTGGGAGAAGTAGGATTCGATTTACTTTGTGGTGTTTCCCATATCTCACTGCCACTTATTACCGATTTAGTAGGAATGTGTATAAACGATGATGCTTCAAAGCTCGGTGGTCTAGACAAACTGCTGGAATGAAATCTGGGTGGTGGAGTCTGTAATAATTTTAACATATTATTATAGATTGAAATATATATTACTCTGTCATCGCATTTAATTTTTTTTAATACTTTGGAATAAGGGCGAAGTAAGTTTCCACCACTTTGAATATTTGGCTCCTTGAAAGGACTAGATCGAAACAAATCTGCAGAAAATGGCCTCATGACATCTATGGATCTTGGTGTGGGAGGAGGCTTACCGAAGGAATGATAATTATATTCAGATTTCTGAAATGAAATAGAAATTAATTAAAATCTTAAAATTTCTATAGACAAAAGTATTTAAAATCATACTTTTGAATTTACTGTTCCATAGGGAGAGGGAACAAATAATGAATCGTGAGAAGTTCGAAGATCTTGAGGAGCATCTACTGAAATAAATAAATTATTATTAGGTTTAGGTAATGTATTTTCTAATTAATTGTGAATATATTTATTGGTCCTGTAATTTTTTTTATTTCTTTACAAAATTTGTCAAAAAATACTTTATTTTCACATCAAGCAAAAATCATGATATTGTACAATATATATGTTATGGACCAAGTGATTGATATGGGCATTATAAACAATGCCTGGTCATTATGAATAATGACAATCATCATCAGGCATAATAAATTTCACATTCTTTGTGGTAATTTATCACATTGACTTGGCAATATGAATACTGCTATCATCTGTCAAGCAAAGTGATGATGATGATGATACTTTGAGAATGATCATCTGACAAAATATTAAAGGAAACTTTTTGGTATTTGGTATAAAAAAAATTTTAAGTTGATTTTTATAATAGTTTTTGTTAACATTAAAACTGTGTCAAACTTGAATATTTTTTAAAAGTAAGTGAAATTTTCACAAATTTTGTTGAATGCTGTGTGCAAAGTAATTGCCAATGCTTACTTATTTTAATAATGATTCTATTTATTATACAAGTATAGTGTGTGTTGATTAATGAAGTGTTTAATACAATAAATACACCTGTATTAATATCAATCATATGAGTGAGGTTTTCTTAAAATATTTTGAAATAATTTACAAAAATAAATTAGTTTCTATTGAAAACAATGGTCTTTCTTTTTGAAAATCAAATTGCCCAAAGGAATGTAGTGTGAGGTTCAAAATTTAGTTAATTTTTAAAATAAATTTATTTCGTACCTACAAAATCAAAATATAGTGTCTGTGGGAATTTTATGTCTTAATATAAACATTCTCACGGGGAATCCGTGCATAGTTTACACTTACAGGCAGAATTCGTCATATTGTTGCCATTCTATCACCACCTTTAACCCCACACCTGCTAAAACAATTGATCACCTGACTAATTTTCCCATCACAAAAAGTATAAAAGCCATCCTTCTTCCCCTCTTGGGGGAATTGCCGAACGTCGAAGTCGGACATCACCTTCCCCATCGCAGACCTACACTTGTGTCACCACCCAGAATCCATTTGGACAACATCATGGGAGAATATCCCACTAGTATATGCAAAGAGGTATGAACATATATTTGTAAACTCTCTCTCTCTCCGCCATCCGTGCAGTAGCAGGATAGGTTGTTATAACAGAACTTAAAATAATTAGGTTTGTAATTTTTTCCGTAGATGATTGTAATAAACTCTTGTTTTGTTTTTAAATGGTGTCTTTACTCGACTTTGCCAATGTCTTATTGTCGACCCTTCTGACTCTCCTCCACTCGCGTAACGCATAACTGAACGTTACTACCCTCCTTGACAAGAAAGTAGGTCATTGATCAACTGCCGGAATGGAGAGGAATTCCCAACCCCCCCGGCGGCTCACAGTAGCTTCATGCATAATGTCTGGTGAATTAAATAGTAACTTATTAATCAGGCTGCATGGCTGTTTTAGTCACTATTCACAATGGCCAGGCATTATGAATAATGACTATTCATCTATTAATCATTTGGCCCATAACATGAAAAAAACTAATTTATGATATATATAATTTTTATAATTTAATACATAAATATAAATTAATTGAAATATCTGTTAAATACTTTTATTTGGGAATCCATTTTATATGTCAAAAATGAATATTATTTGTCAAATATTTGAAAACTAGTAAAAAATGTCAGATATTTAAAATTCATTTTTTTCCAAATTTATGTTAACATATATAATTAATCTCCATTAATTTTTCCATTGTGAATTAATTTTAAATTCTTCTGTTCATGATTGAAATAAATTAATTACAGAATACATATTTGAAAAGTTTGATTATCTGTATCCAGAAAATACTTTAACTTAGAATAAAATTCTCCTGGATAAATTTTTTTTTTCAGAAAAAAATTGGAAATAATAGTATAACAACAAAATTTATAGTTTACAGAGTCTAGATACAAACATTGCATTGGGTTATATTTGCTACTAGATAAAGAAATGAAGTTGCACTGGGCTATTTGTTGGCTTGCATGTTGTGCACCTCCAACTTCAGATAGGATTTATTTCCATGCAAATGAAGTCCCATGAAAGATAATGGCATGGTTTAAATTTCAGAATTATAGAGCACCTGTACAAAATGTTTTTAGTCCAACTAAAATACTGAAAGGACTCAGACAGCTGGACACTTGACAAGAAGGTGAAACAATTTGAGGTCTCTCTCTCTAACCTTGAGGTATGAAAGGCCATACAGAGAAGCCTCAAACTTTTTCCCCACTCATTTAATGCTTGTATTTAGCTCAGTGTTTTTCATCCTCTTTTTCATAGTAATACCTTCAACTTCATAAATTTTGTTTTTATTGAAGCACCTATACATCTTTACAAAATATGCAATAACTCTATATTGATACTTTTAGTAATAAATGTAAGAGTGCTATTGTGCAGTTCAGCCCATATTTCATGGCACTCTTGTTGAAAACCAATGATTTAGCAGTTATTATGTAGCAAAGTGAGATATAGCCTGGTGCAATGTTTGTATCTCCACTCTGTACATATGTATTCTTATGTGTTTTGGGATACATACAAAATTTTACAGAAGAATTAAATATTTCTGTAAATATAACACACAACTTTAAGAATTTCAAATGAAAATATTTGGTTAAAAATTAATTTGCTCTATTACTATTTTAGAATTATTTCTTTTTTATATTACTGTGATTTCCATGATTCTAAGACACTGTTTTAAATGCATTTTTACTTGTCCAAAGTAAAGGCACATCTTAGAATTGATGGCTTTTCCAATTATTTTTTGAACAATGAATATGAGATCATTGTGAATTAGTGTTACCACCCATCCAGTTTTCATCCAGACAGTCCGGGAAGCAACTCACTGTCCAGGTGAACTGTTAATTTTGTCCAGGAATATTGTGTGCTGCCTGTCAACCCTTTTTTTTTCCTGTACGATTTGTATTCATGCACATCTCCAATATCCAATAGAGCTAAGTTATCTGTAGTTGTTTTTTCTTAATTTAGGTTACTTACATTACTCCTACCCAAGTCTCTCTAGTCCCTAACTGATTTAGAACCAGTGTGCACTGCATGTTATTCTTTGCATTGAAAAATGACATTGTGCATGTGTCAGGAACTTTTGTTGAGCAAACCTCACCTGCCATCTGGATCAGCGATTTTGAAAAGGTGGCAACACTATTGTGAATAGAGAACGTTATACATTATGCATCAATAATAGATAGCTTTGGATATGTTTCTTGATGCTCACATAAGTTCAAATGACCTTTTAAATTGCACATTTGTTAGCAGAAAATGTTTTCTTAACATTTAAATACCCATGTTTTTATGATGATTTGATATAGATCTTACACAGAATGGAAATAGAGTTGCCATAAAACATTACCTTTTTCATGGCAACTCAAGGCATATGCAATACTTTTTTGATTTGTTGGTCAATTTTATTAAATGTTATGGAAGAAAACATTGTTAAAAAGTTAATGAAAAAATTTGAAAATTCAATTTCAAACTGGTGCATCTTAGAATCCAGGAAATAAATGATATTATGGTACACACATACCATTTCCTTCTTCACCTGAAAGAATTTCTTGCAGATCTTTATATCTGTTAACAGCTGTTTTTAAGTCTATGATTTTCTTTTCCTAAATAATTTTTAAAATTCAATAAAAATATGTTTATATATATATATATATAATATAAAAGATAATTGCCAAATATCTTTAGAATACATACTTTATCTTTATTAGCTTCCATAACTGATTCTAAAGTTTTCCTGAGTTTTTCAATTTCTGTACCTAACAATCAAACATTATATTTAAATATTTTAGAAGTATGTAAATTGATTTATCTAAACAGAATCAAAAGGAAGTTTTACTTGGTTCTGCAGTAGACTTTGTACTCAGCATCCAAGGCTGAAGCACTGATTCAGTACTCTTAGTTAAAAGCCTGTTCCTTAATAGTTCATTCTATATTGATTGGATACTATTATTACTAATTATAAGTGTAACCTGCTCTTATTAATGATTAGATAATACCTCCAATTTTTTATATTTCTCCTCAAAGCCAAATTGTTTTTGCTGAGATGCAGCCAGCTGCAGTCGTAAGCTGGAAATTTCGGTCAAAAGATCTAAACGACTGTTTTCCAAAGAGGCACGAGACATAATTTCCTAAATGTATAAACTGTAATTCAATCAAAGATCTTCATAGAATTAACATCATGTTTACTTACCTGCTGCAACATCTCTTCTGAATTAGCAAGCTGTTTCTTTTTCTTTTGTAATTCAGTTTCCAATTCCTGAATTTTATCGGTCTGGATGTCAATTTGTTCCGTTAGCACATTCACCTGTTATAATTTGGGAACAAATAGGATTATAATTTGTAGAGTTTATTAATATTTAATACGATCGAAACTAATTAGTATTTTCTATGCAGTGGCTTTTAAAACTTTAATGCAATTTTTTTTTAAATCAAAGAATATAAGCACAACTCACTGATTTATCTTCTCATCTATTAGTGACAGATGTGTTAATGCTTCATGCATGGCATTTCTGGAACAGAACTTATTAGTGAGAGTTAGATATATTATATTATTTGAGTCTTTGTCATCTATCTAATAGCAGTTTTATATATGAGATAATGCAGGAAACAATCTGCTCAGCCTTGAAATTAGAAACTTCAGAATAAGCAAACAAGCAAATAATCTGAAAATATTTTTTATTTATTTAAATCATGCATAAATCAAGTGGCATGCTGGGTATTTTACATGATAAGCATCCAAATTTCAAAAGAAAGAGAACTAACCTGCAACAGCAAATTCTGTTTATCATTTTCTAAAGTTTGCAACTTTTCCTGCAACTGCTGGCATTCTTCAGACTGGTCCTGGGGCTAAAACAGATAATATATTGTTTACAAGGATACTAAATAACAAACCGTCTCTACTGTAATACCTTGAAATACTTCCTCCAAGAGTCCTCCCCCCTGGAATAGTTAGGAGTATGACAGACCATTTGAGGTGTGGGAGAACTCCTCATCCACAGGGGAGTACACGCATAAGGATGCTGACAACAGTATGGCATGACATCCATCTGTACACAGCGAGGAACTGGGCTGCAACAATACGTAGGAGTAGGTATTCGACAGCATTCTAAAGCGTAAGGCCGCCTGGGGGAAGAGCAATGCCTGGAAGGCGATCTAACCCTTAAAGAATGGGTTAAAACGGGACTGTGCTGTCTCTCCTCCCTCAACTCCTCTAAAGAATCCCTCTCCAAATTGGGGCTAGTACGTGACCAGTCTTCGGAAGTGTCCCGTGAGTTTTTATCGTCGGTAAACATCGTCAGTCGATGGAGTCGAAGCGTCGAGTAATTCGAGCTGGGCGTAAGTTATATTTTTGGGACACGTCCTTGCCAGTGGGCGAGGCGACGCTGCGCCGATTTCCTTCCCACCCGATATTAACTGCAGCCAAGAAACTCGTTTCGATTCCATCAGTCGCGCGACGAAGGGGAGAGGCGAAACCTCGTAGAGTGCCTCTTAAATTTGACAAAGCTTTATTCATATTTCGTGCTTGACATAAAACAGAGTTCGATTGTCTAAAAACTGAAGATCGACTTCTTTAAGTACCCGATCACGTGACACGGCTTTTAAAGCAAACAAAATGCGGCTTTTTATTCGTTATTATTCCATTTTTAGTAAGCTGCGTCATTAATATTTACGTAAACAACCGAAAACGATTACGTCTTTAGGTAACGCGAGAAACCGTAACAAGTCGTGACATTTGAATGACCAATTGTGTATATTTAATGAACTTAAATACGAAAAAATTAATTAGGAAATTCAAAAATTATATATTTTGAAAATGATTATTAAAAGGCCCGTGAAAAATCTATAAAGAGAGTAATTTATTGACGTCATCTTCACCAGATGTAAGTATGACGTCGGCATCGGCTCGCTTCCGATTGGTCGAAAGTGGAAGGAAAACAGATGTTTTCGCGCGCGAGAAGGAAGTTATCGCTTAACACATTGTTTTATGAATTAAAAAAACAAGAGAGTTCACTTACTTCATTCGGATGATAACCGTAACAGGGAGGAGGTTGGACGTACCAGGAAGGCGTCCAAGGTGGTACCCCGAACCAATAAGGATTAGGGGGACCACGGAAGTCATTCGGCCTCCTGATCTTGTTGCCTAGTCTCCTTCCGTACCTAGTGGGGGTGGACAGACCCGAATCGGGTCTGCAACTGTCGCTGTCGGACGGGGTAGAGGGTCGAACCCTTCTCTGTCGAATTCCTACCGGTGGTGGTTGTTTGCCACGTTCGGGTTTCCACGAATCGTCGCTGCTGTCCGACTCTCCCGATTTTTTGTAAGAGTTGTGCCCTCGCGATTTGTCGCTGTCCATCCTCCTCCGAAGAATGATCTTCAGAGGCCTTATCCGGTGACGAGCGTAACACGTGACGGTCGAATGACCAATCGAAATCAATTACTTATCTAAATAGAATTTAATAGCCGAATTCTTTAATGCGAAACACAAAGGGACTTTCTCGGTAAGGAACCATTTATCAATTAGAGGGGGCAATCTTCCTTTCTCGGTTTACTAACTCAAGCAGGATGTTTAAATCTCCGCAATCAACCTGAGACTAATTATTGTGTAACCTTCGGGTATTTTCTAAGTGTTTTTATCAAAAATGGAGAATAATCGAGAAAAACCACTTGTCGTTGACTACAAGAAATTGAAGGACTTTCAGAGAAATTCAATTAAGACAATTAGGACCGGAAGTTATAGCATTTTATTCTAAACTGAGAAGCATTGTTTGATAAAATTCGAGACGAAGTGAGAAAGTTAGATTGCGATTTTATCATACAAAAACAATATAAAAAATGCAAATTTTTAAATCTAATTATAAATTATTTGAATCTTAATTTTGCTTCTTCGCGACGATGCAAACTTGATGCAGTACGTTGATATCAGAACAGTCTAATGTACTTTTTGCATATGTAAACCACTGTTTAATACAATAAAACTCATTTTATTCTAATTTAATTTGGAAAATTCTCTCTTCAACGGAAAAGTATTTGTGTTATCTAATCGTAAATAAAGTTAAAGACACTCAATGCGCTCGATCAAATTACACATCGGTTGACAGAACGTCGCACAGTAAATTAATTAATTGAAATTATTTTATACTGAAAAGAAAATATAGCACATTTTAGTCTTTACAGTTGATATGTGATATTGTCGGTGCATCGAAATCAACGTTTTATTTCGTACCCACGAAGAGAACTTTATGAAAGATCCAGAGAGATTTCTGTTCGGTTGCAAAACAGGATGAATAGAATAAGTATAGAGTAATTATTATATGGGTCGAACCATAAAAAAATTTAGGACACCGGAAAATTGAACGGAGTGAGTCAATCGCCAAATTACCTCGGTCTTAACAATGCGCTTATATCGAGAAGAAAACAGTTACTATTCATTTATTTGACTGATTAGAAAATGGGAAAATTGGGAACGCGTCAAAGTAATAAACGTAAATAAGTTTTTACAGAATTCTAAGCCAACGATGCAAAGAAATTAGAAAATTATTAGCAAATTCAAAAGCAACTTAATCTAATATTTCGAAACATTATACAGTATTAAAAAATTTAGCGTCATCGTTCATCTTTGTAAAATGAAACACGAGTATAGACTAACGGAATTACAACCTGCTGTGCGTAAATGATACTACGAGTGATACCCCGACGCGCTATAGTTTGATGCAATTGACAACGTTAATGTATTTCTTGAGAATAGTAATCTCTTAATGAATCTGTAATCAAATCGAAGACGTTAGCAAAGTTAGTATCTCTATTTTAATCTTAAAAACACCGCCATAATACTTAGGTTGAAGTAAGACTAATTATAAAACAATCTTATTATTAATAAATCCGTACGACGCTTATTTTCTTTCTTATGTTCGACAATTTATTCACAAATTAATATATTTTATTAGTGGAGCCTTATAATTAGCGTAGTCTAACTAGTTTTTACCATATAGGCTACGGTTAAATCTCGATTCTGAAAGACAATCCACTACTGACTTCCAACCTCTTTCTAAGAACTGTTTGCAAATAAATGAGAATACAAATGTACTGTACAACATAATATATAAGTATAAAATTTGTTACTAATCTGCAGTAGCGTAACTAGATTAGACGTAAAGGGGGTCTAGTTAAAATTTAGTATGAGTCGGTACGCATTTTAATAAATTTGTGCCTTTAATAGTTAGCCTATATCAATTAGAAAGTCATTTGTTGTAATCTCTTATAACTCCATAATTAATAAAAAGTGCTAAATATAGAAAAAATAACCTTTCCATTACGAAAGGAGGGGCCCCTGGACTTCTCGCTTATGATTGTGAGATTTTTCTTTAAATCGTACTTCACGTATAAAAAAAGTCGATTTAAATGGAATTAATATTATTCCTGTTAACTAATTTTTCCACGGGCCAACAACAATGCGAGAATCTAGGTTTGGGGTTGTCTAAACAAAGCCACAAATCTCGTGACGTCACGAGTTCTCGGAATCTGGATGCGTCGGCGTGGGTCAGTGTTCTTAGCATCTATTACCGAGCGATTTATAGTGGATTCGTTCCGTTATTCCTAAAGATCTGATGCTTATTCGTTACCCGTCTGCCAATGTTAAACGTCATCTAATTAACTGCGCGAATTTCGATGTAATCTGATATCGTACAATTAAGATGAGAGAGAGAGAGGCTAAATCGACGCTCTCTTCTTTACGGAACGATTAAATTCACTTTGTGATAAAATGTTAGAAAGAATAATATAGATAATTATACTGTTATTATATAGCATCATTTATATTAACATATTTAAAAATATAATTAAAGTATTAACACTTTAAACATTTATAATTTGTAAAAACAAATTGAAAAGGACCAGATAGGTCGAAATGCATACGGATAAATAAAAAATTGATAATATTGGTTGAAAATGTAATAAGCTTGATTTAATGGTCTAGATCAGGGATGGCGAACCTTTTTGAGTCTGCGTGACACATAGTAAGCATATTTAGCATACTTTTCTTTAAAAATGTTTATGCGTGCAGAAGTTTTAGACTTCGAGTAACTATATTTAAATTTGGCCGAGTGGTCAAAGTGGTCGCTCTTGTAGACCCGAGATCAAAACCCCAGAAAATTTTCAGGTGGATATCCATTCTTCACCACTTGGCTGTCCCATTGTGGACTTGCTAAATAAAAAAGCCCTCTTAGTGCCCACAGAGCGAAAAAAGTTTTAAAAAAACTATATTTAAATAAATAAAATAATATGCTGTAATTAGAGTAAATGTAAAGAACCTGATTGAAAAAGATGATAAACCAAAATCATATAATTAGTTACGTGCCAGATGATTTCTTCGACGTGCCACTTTGGGCACGCGTGCCATAGGTTCTTCACTTCTGGTCTAGATAATTGATATATGGAAACTTATAATAAAGCTTCATACATAAAATTTTGCTTGAATATTAATGCATATATACAGTATGTTTTAAAGCACATGCTGAAATTTGCCCTTTTAAGAAGTTCCTAGCCATTTCTTGAAGTGTTAGCACATCCTATAATAAATAATTGTTTCAGAATTTCTAGATTTTCTGTGACTTGAAATGCTAACCTGGTTTCTGCAGACGTTGAAACGGGTGTATAAACTTATTTCTATATCTCTAATGAAAGCAGACCAGGGATCCCCAAAGTGGTCGATATAGACTTCAAGGGATCGATTCGGACTCGGAGGGTCGATGGAGAAAAGTTAGACAAAAGTTAATTAAAAATCACTAATATAATAAATAACTAGTTTCAGTCACGTTAATTGCAAACTAAACAAAATAGAGATAGATATAGAATTACGTGGAGATTTAAGACTGAAATTCACTAATATTGCAAAGAGTAACCAAGCACATAGTCACATTGACAATGCCAGTCAATTTTACTAATTTAATTAATGAGAGCCTTATTATAATGCATATGATTAGATATAAATATCATATATAAGATGTATGTAATATAAATAATAAACAGTAAAATAAACTATCTAAAAATCACATAAGCGTCTTTTTTTGCTCGTCATATTATAATAACGTAAAGTAGAGGGGATCGATAAAAACTCGAAAATTTTTTGAAGTGGTCGACTGTCAAGAAGTTTCTGAACTAAACATTTCATATAATGTCTAATGGCTTTCCAGAAGTTACTTAATAATAATTAGAACTAATCAACCTTAAACAATTTTTAATTGCATTAAGATGTTCCTTTAATTTCGGAGTAAATAAAAATCAAATTTTTACTAATTTATAGTTTTGTTTGCTTTACTCTCGTTAATGCTATCAGTAGGCTATTATAGGGGAGACCGGGGCAACTTCGGCATGCGGGGCAAGTTTGTCAAGCGCTTTTTTTTAAAAAACAAATTAAAAGGAGACTTTGGTTATAGGTTAGGCAGTTGAGTTTTATTGGTGGCTTGTTGAGTGTAGTGTTTTTATTGTTCTCCAACAAGCGTAGTTGAATTATCAAGCAAATTTTTATTTTCGTTGAATTCCATATAATATTTTTTTTTCATTTATATTGAATTGGCAGGTTTTGTTATAATTCCATGATAACGAAAGTTACTTTTCCTGTTAGAAGGATGTAACTTCAACTTATTCACGTGGCCAGATCGTGGCTTGGCATTCTGTTCTCAGGGTTGTACTTAATGTTTCGAAATCATGACTAGCGGGGTAAGATCGGCAGCATAAAGCCACATTAGAAGCAAAGGATAAAAATCAAACAGATGATAAATGAAAACATGTTTGCATTTGTTATTCATGTATATGTCTTTGAACTTGCATTTCGTTGTAATAATATTAAATGGGTGTTGGATTTGTATTTCTTTGTTTTAATAGTGAATTCCAACTTATACATTGTTAATAACATAATTTTATATACGTGCCTATCTTGCCCCATTACTGTTGCCCCTATACCAGGGGCAACTTTAATAAAAATAATTAAAATAAT